CGTGTATAACCACATGGAGGTCATCGAAGTCAGGAAGTCAGCACTGGTGCATCGTCACCATGTACTCTTCAGACACTGTTAAGGCTTCGTCCCTTGTTCTGCTAATATCCTTTATAGAGAAAAGGTCTATTTTAGAACCTCATAGTGCATAGTGCTCTGTAACTTGCCTCAGTCTGCGACTGACCTGGGTTATTATTATAGACTGGTCATTGTGTGCAGACTGCCCCTCAGTTTGGTTTGGTCTGCTGTAGCTATATTCTGCAGGGAAGGATTTTATAACTATATAACTTCTGATTCCTCATTCAATTTTCAGATCAGTGATTGATTTGGTATGTATCATGGTTCCTAATTTTACAGAATAATTCATCATCTGTTACTGTAATTTATTTTGATACTCACACTTATCTAATGTTTGGCTGTTGAGCACCATTTCAGGCTGGCTTCTGCGTTGTCTTGCCCTGTCCTCATCGTTCCTTAAATACTTCTTTGCTTTTTGGTGATACAAGACATCACTGTTTTACCTGCCCCAAGTTGTAGGCATCCATTTTTTTTTTTCTCCCCAAAGAACCCTGGATTTGTTTGAGTGAAGAATGGTGTTTGCAAACAAGATTTGGGAGTTAGATGCTTGCTGCTGCTTGGTGCCCTTAAGCTCTCTGAGGTATGCATGACGTGTGTATGCATTTATGGCTATTTATATACTTATTTGTGACCATATTTCTGTATCTGTATGTGTTGAAACTGAATTCAAACCTATAACTTCAGTTCTAGTCTAAATGGAACATTTTTGCTTTTCCCTACATCACTTCTCAGAAAACGTTAATACGTTTACTCATTTGATCCGCTCTTGGTGTAAGCAGTTTCCTTAATATCAGTCACTCCCTCTGTGGTGTGCAGCTTCCTTGGACCTTGATAATGTGTGCTGGGCCATGCATATTGGAGTGTGTTCTCCCCCGACTGAGGTTGGAATCTCCATGCATGGCTGCCTGCACTCTGCGTACAGGCGCTGACTGCTCACAAACCCTTGGGCTCTGATGTCCCTAACCAGTCTCCCTCTCCATATCGATGCATTTTTCCCATGCTTGGGCCCTAACACCACATGTTAGTTGCTGTGGACACTCAGAGAGCCTTTTGGCCCTGTTTGTATCTGACACATGGCCCTGCATGGACCCTGTCTTTATCCTGGCTTGCTCATTTTTTGCATATCCTGCCATCTTTCCTCTTAGGCTTGACTCTGCTCTCATCAAGCTGTTCCACAGCCCTGTGTGGCTTACGTTCCTCTCTGTGGGACTGACAGTGTGTAAGTTGCCTAGCCACAGGGCTATGCTTCTCAACCTATTTAGGCTTAGAAACCTCCTGTTAAATGACCAAAATCAAACACAAGACCATCTCAAGGAGGAGAGTCCACATTCGCATTTGTGCAAACCAAATAGTAAGTTTACTAACAAATAATTCTGCAAAGGGTGTTTCCTTAACAACACTCCAATAAATTTGTATGTCAGTAGATTGTTCGGTGTTCTAAAATTCCTTTGTTCAAATGAAGTGCTTACAAAAAACCAGGCTTAATGACATAAAATCTGATTTTTAAATTCCTCTCAAGTGCAGCTTGAATTCACTGAATTTAAAATCCCACAGATAAATAACAATGCTGCTGGAAAATTGCACTTAGTTCACGTTCGGGAAATGTATGTATTGTGATGGTAATGTGACTGTTCATTTTTTTTTTTGGTAATTATAGCTTTTTGAAAAGATAAGTCCTCTCCCTCCCTCCCTCTGCTAACCTTGCTGTGGGCCTCCTATGGTGTGGTCACTTCTCTGAAACACAAGGCAGCTTTGTTGACATCACTGATGATGCTTGTCAGCAGGGATTGGTCCTCACTGCCAAACTGTTTTCTTAGTCATTTCAAGTGTCCATGTCCATTGCAGCTGCTCTGGAACTCATAGGAAGATCTCAGTTTTTGCAAATTAATGGAAGAGCTGCCTGGGTAAGGTAGAGTTTGTTACAAGGTCTTTCAACAAGTTGGTAACACATGAATGCTAAGTTTGCCTTTCTACCATGCCAGAAAGCTCTCAGACTAGAGGAAGGGCCATCCATCTTTAAGAAAGTACTGAAGGCTTTTGCATTCTAACTGCATTTTAAGTTCAAAAAGTATGACTTGAAATATTGCTAAGACACTTCACTCAGGTAAAATTTGTAGGATATTTAGAGAATCAGAAAACAATAAATATCTTGTATTTTGTTAGGTTAGTGTGAGTTTTTTGGGGGGGTATTACTTTTGCTGCTGCACATTTATTAAATGTATTATGTAAAATGCTTAAACAGTGCTTGGCACTGAATAAATGTTAGCTCTTTAGTGTCATGTGAAGCGTGAAAATTACATGCAGAAAGTTATTTCTTCAATAATCCTGAAAAAATCCTTTTCATTTTTAGGGTTTGTTTTTTGCCCTTTAATACTTATAGAAGCATTAAATTCAAGAAATTTTGATGTGAACAGCCACTTCTGTCTTAGTTCAAGTTCAAAAGACAGTACTGCCAGTTGTTGATGTCAGAGTTCTTTGTGGGAAAGGTTTATTAATTGATCCATTTTATGGTTATAGTCATGATCTTTAAAACTCTGGTGCTCTGATAGAAATGCTTTTTCCTCTTTTAGAGCTGGCAGTGACACAAAAAAATAAGATGGTGGGTGTGCCAGTTACCCTGATGTTTTACACACATCGTATGCTTGCATGGGAATGTTACTCTAGCAATGCTGCATCTCTATTTCCACAGCATTTGTTTTTGGTTTCATTGATTTTTCTGTTTTTTTTTAATTTTGTTTATTTCTGCTCTGTCATCTCCCTTCTGCTTATTCTAGCTTTGCCTTGCTCCAGTTACTGATTTTTACTCTTGTGTTTCAATGAAAGCACTGTATGCCGTAGTTTTCCCTCTAAGCCCTGCTGTCAAAAGTGCTCTGTGCACATTTTCATACATAATGTCTTATTTTCTTGTAGTTCAAAATATTTTCTTGCTCACTTGGATGTTCTTTCTCACCCATGGGTGATTTAGAAGTTTGCTGTTCACTTTTCAACTGTTTGGAGATTATCGTATTGTTACTGATTTTTAGTTGAACTGTCTTAAGTTTGGAGAACATTTTTTGGTTATTCTATGTTCTTTATTATTTGAATTTCTATTTACTTAATTAAAAAGCAGAGTCAAAGATAAAAGGAGACAGACATACAGAAGTCTGTCATCTACTGGTTCACTCTCAAGTCTCCCGCACGGGTGGCAGGGACCCAGCCATTTATAAGCCATTACCAACTGTCATTCAGGTTGTACATGAATGGGAGGTTGAACTTGAAGGTGGAGCAAAAACTCAAATTTATATGATCCTGTATGGAATATGGGCATTTATCTTTATTGGAAGGGCAAAAACAGAGAAAGAGAGAGATCTTCCATTCACTGTTCCACTTCCCAAGTGTCTGAAACTGCTGGGATGGGGCAAGGCCAAAGCCAGTCATTAGGGACTCAGTCTTCCTGCGGGTGGGAGGGACTCAGGTACCCAAGCAAACACCTGCTGCCTCCCTGAGTCATCATTTGCAGGAATGTGAAATTAGAGGCAGAGCTGGGACTTGAACTCAGCCACTCATGTGTATGTCATGCAGGTGTCCCTAGTAATGGCTTAATCACTGTGGCAGCAGCCAGCACAACCTGCCCTATTTTTCTGTTCTTTTAAATTGAGATTCTCAGGTCTATAGCCGCCATGTCTTTCATCAGATTGGGAATATTTTCAGTTTTATTTATTCAGTTATCTTTTCTGGTACATATCCTTCCGTCTGTGACAGCAATGGGAAGAATGTAAAATATTCTGTTGATTGTCCCATAGATCATTAAATAGACTGTTCATTTTCTTTATCATTTTTTTTCTTTTCAGATTTATTGATTGCTGTTGATCTGTGTTCAAGTTGATTTTGCTATCTCATATTGATATTTAGGTTCATCTAGTATGTTTAAAAATTTTGATTATTAAACGTGCAGTTCTAAGATTTCCATTTCTTTCCCTTTTGTATGTTCTTTTTCTTAGTAAGACTCTTCCCTTCCCCGCCCAACAGGTTGCCCTTAATTTTGGAAGTTTTTTGTTGTTGTTGTTGTTGTTTTAGCTCTTGGAATAGTTTTGTGATTTTGTGATTTTTTTGTGAGTTTGGTGTTAGTGTCTGTTGTGTGTGAATGTAACTTTTCCTCTGTGTTGATTGAGTGAATTGTATCTTATGCTTCAACATTGTGTTAGAAGCGTCTCATTCTTGAAACCAATGGAGAATATTGTTGGATTCAGTCTGTAAGCTTTAACTGGCTGCGTTTGGAGTGGGCTTAGTGTGGCAGTTCTGTTTTCAAAACTTGTTTTCTGTGTGTGGCTTCTATATGCTAGTTTAGTCTCTCAGCTGTGGTCCTCATTTATGTTTCAGTCTAAGTACGTGCTACTCAGTGTGTGCCCTCAATTTTTTGTCTTCTATTACGTACTTCCTAAAACTGTGCCCATGTCTAACACACAGCAGTGTGGGCTTGCATTGTTTCCACTTCTATAGGATTCCTGCTTTCCTGCAGCTGATGTATCTGTTTCTGAGAGGCAGAAAGGAAAAGGGAGAGAAGGAGAAAGAGGGAGTGCTGTCGTTCGTGTTGTTCTGCACATCATAATGGCCATTTTCTAAATCCTTGTTAGCTGTTAAAGTCGTCAAACTTTTTCAAATCTGTCACTTTTCTTTTCTCATTCTAACTTGCTCAGTGAGTATCTTCCTTCACGCATACTGCATCTCTTACTATTTGCACAGGTTATTGTTCTCCCAACTTCTTTTCCCCTCTTCTGTGTTTGCTTCTGCCAGAAGAGAGATGAAAAAGGAAGCAATGAAATGAAATCTTAGATCCCATTTGTTCTTTCCCATACTAGCAGTTTGTGTGCAGTCAAATTCAGATTGAAGTGAATATCTGCAGTTATGGTACTAATGGGATGTTTTTCTTTTCTCTCTGACAGCATGACGGAAGTGGTTCGTTACATGACATTCAACTATCATCGCCATCCAGTCCCGAACCAGAAGATGGTGATCACATATATAAGGTAGTCAGGCTGAAGCTCTTAAATTTTTAAAGACTGAAATAATGAAATTATAACAATGGAACTGCATTAAATTTGTGTATTAAAAGTCTAGAGATTTGCTTACTTAAGTATTACTCAGATCTGCCCTAAACTTTTAACACACTGTTAAATTGAAATTACATCCCTGGTTTGTTTGATTTTTTTCAGTTAACAGTACTGGTGTGAAATCCTTTCAAAAATAATTTTTTAACAAAATAAAAAATTTTTAACAGTTTTTAGCAAGAAAGAGTAAGGCAATTAAGCATGTTATTTATTGCAACGTTGAAAATTGATACTCAAATATGAGATCAACTTGGTTATCCTTTTTTTCATGTTTGATTATGTAGTTATAAGGGTCTGATTTGGTGCAGCAGTCATGACACTCTTGGTATACCAATACCCCATGTGGGATGGGATGTCTTGGTTGAGTCTTGGCTCCAATTCTAATTCCAACTTCTGCCAATGCACACCCTATGAGGCAGCTGGCACTTTTCAAAGGGGATGTGTTGTGCCAGCGGGAAAAAGCTTTCTTTGTCAGAACCACACGTGACTTCTGCTTCACTGTGGCCATTGGTTACTTCCAAGACGATGCAGGTATGGGGCTGGCTTATGGCACAATTGGGTAAGACTATCACCCATAACACTGGCATCCCATAAGAGTGGTATTTAAGCCCTGACTGTTTCAATTCTGATCCAGCTCTCTGCTAACGTGACTGGAAAGGCAGTAGATCATGGCTCAAGTATTGGGGCCCTGAAACCCACCTTGGAAACCATGATGAAGCTCCTGGCTCCTGACTCCTGGCACTGGCTCAGCCATTTGGGCAGTAAACCAGCTGATGGAAAACAACTCTTTCTCTGCCTTTCAAGCAAACTAACTAACTTAAAAACCAATGGTGAAACAGGTGACCCAGCATCATGCTGAAAGGGCAGAGGAGCCTTTGTCACAGGGTGCACAGTAACGTTTTGGGGATAAAAGTGTATGTAAATGGTTACATCAAAAGAATGGACATAGTAGTCACATCTGATTATTATCTCTCTTGATTTTCCACTTTTTTGCCTACATGTCCTTTCCCAAATTTCTTTCCTTGGTTAGCTTCCGCCCAAGTTTCTGTGTAATATTATTATGCATCATCAGGCCAATAACGTAAATAAAAATCTTTCTTATGTTACGTATAACATAAAATTCTAGTTGAAATCCCACTCACTGCGTGGCAATCTCTGAGAAACCTCTGCATATTTTAAGTTTTGTGACTGATGCTTTTTAAAGTTGACCTTTTTGCTTGATTTTTTTTTCTGTAAAAAAGTTTCTTACATATAAATGATTTATTTGTAAAGCAAAACTTTAATTCTAGGATATTTACATGAGAAGTCTTCCTTCCCCATACTCCCTTCTTGTTTGGCTATAGTTAGTATTTCACAAGCATATTTTAAAGAGTTGTATTTGTTTTCTCTTTTTTCTTCCCTCCAGGTAGATCATTCCTGTTCTTTCTGTGTTATTTAAAGAGAGATTTATCTTATGTTCTATTTGAAGGGCAGTATTACAGTAAGAAGAGAGGAGAGAGAGAAAAAACAGAGAGCTCTTGCATATGCTGGCTCAGCTCCTAAAAGGCCACAGTGGCCAAAGGTGAGCCCAAATCTGAAGTCAGTAACCAGTAGCTGCTTCTGGGTCTCGTACATGGGTACAGAAGCCCAAGGATTTGAGCCATCTCTGCTGCTTTCCCAAGCCACAAACAGGAAGCTGGATGAAAAGTAGAGCAGTCAGGCCCAGCGCGGTGGCGCAGTGGTTAAGGTCCTCACCTTGCATTCCCGGGATCCCATATGGGCAGTGGTTCTAATCCCGGCAGCCCCGCTTCCCATCCAGCTCCCTGCTTGTGGCCTGGGAAAGCAGTCAAGGACGGCCCAAAGCTTTGGGACCCTGCGCCCGCGTGGGAGACCCGGAAGAGGCTCCTGGCTTCAGATCAGCATAGCACTGGCCGTTGCGCTCACTTGGGGAGTGAATCATCGGACGGAAGATCTTCCTCTTGTCTCTCCTCTATATATCCGCCTTTCCAATAAAAAAAAAATCTAAAACAAAAAAGAAGTAGAGCAGTCAAGTCATGAACCAGTACCTGTATCGGTTGCTGGTGCCACAGGAAGGTACTAGCTACTGTACCACTTCACAGGTCACTCCTCTTTTTTTTTTTTTTTTCTTTCATGATTTTAAACAAGACATACATTCTAATAGTATACAACATTTCTGTCTTTCTGACTGTGTGACTCATTTGTCCATGAGACATTTTTACACTCCCCACAACTGCCTCCAACAATTTATTTGAACATCTTTGTCCTGACCTTGCCATTTCTTTGGGTGACTCAGGTAGTCAGTAGGAGGTCTGGCCTGCCTGACAATTGCCTTGTTCGCAGACTGGCTTGTTCCTCACCCTTCAGCAGCCTTTGTCGGAGCACTGCATTGCTTCTGTTTCTCCAGATGTGCTCTGCTCTCTCCCTCCCTATTTTTTGCAGAGCCCTTTGAATTCTTTACCTTAAGATCCAGAGTTTGCCTTGTTGCTGTATCCTCAGAACCTTTTGCTTAGTCCTGTAAGACCCCATAGTAGTCATGCATTTCCCAAAGTGTCCTCCATTGCCTGCCTTTTTGTGTAAAATCTTTGCAGCAGTGCTTACAAGTAGTATGTACTATATACATGTTGGTCATTCATGTTCTTAGAACATTGTATTTTGGTTTTCCTATCTTGGGTCTGTTTCTGTAATATGTTGAACCCAGCCACAGCTATAGGAATCCCCTGGCCTTGTAGTGTTCCATCAGATTACTGTAATTCATATGTCCTATTATGGGACAATTTTAAGTGTATAAAGGTTTGGGTAATGTCTACGTTTTCATACTTAGAATCATTTCTTCAGCATAGCTTCTTAGAAGTGGGATAATTGGATCAGAGTTGCAACCATTTTTGCGACTTTAAAGGCATTTGATTGTCCAGAAGGTTAATTGCTTCATCTAATGAGTTGCTACATTTTTCTGTAATCTCATTAATCATATTGCCAACTCCACCTCCAATTTAACATCTTCAAAATAAATATTTCCAATATTTAATTTGTTTTTCTAAGTACGAATCAACTGGAACATTTGATTGTGTTTGTGAGAACTGTTTGTATATTGAAAATGATGTTTAAACAACATTGAGCTATAAATCCTTTGCCATGTTTACAAAGGCTTTAGAGACTTTACATTTAATCAGAAAACTTAATTGTATATATGATGAAAGTCTTATGTAATACATTTATGATTTTTTAATAACTTCATTTGCTATGCCATTGAGAAATGTGCTTAGCTAAATCTTTCAAAATGCATCTTTCTGCAATGCACCTTTGTAAACAGTTTGAGTAAGATTTGAAAAATTATGTAAAAGACAGGCTTTTCCAATTACAGTGTGCATAATAGCATTTTAAAATTTTTGCTTCCCCATTGTTTGGGTTGCTTATATGATAGGTTCAATAAAACCTTTTTAGGATGTCTGTGTAGAGACTTCATATTTTGGTTATTGCCAGTGTATCTAACAGTGATAATGTAACTTTGCTCAGCAGCTACTCCATCAGCATTGTTAACCTGTAAGTTTCTCTGAAAAGATAAGGTGCATTATCTATATGATGCTTAAACTACTTCAGTGTGTGTTTTTAGTAAGTGAATAGAAATAGTCCAAGCGAGCTGCCTGTAGGTTAATGATACTTTACCTCTTGTAGATGTGACCAGATTTGCTACCAGTAGTTGGTTGCTTTTCACGGGATTAGGTAGTTTTCAGAGTTGAGCTTGATGGGATTTTCTCCCCCTTTTGACTCGGGCAGTGCAGTTTCGAAAAGTGGTTCATGGTCAACCCAGAACTTTTCTGTTACTTTTTAAGCCTATTTATCTCTTTGCTGATTCCTGACCCAGGTATGAAATAGCTTTGTGGCTTTAATTGTACTACATTCTCTGCTTATTATGCCATGTTCTTTATCTGATAGGTGTCTCTTAAAATCTTATCCAAAGTTTCTTTTGTGTGCAGTTGTTTTTATTTTATTTTATTCTTATGTGTGGTTGATAGCACATGAGACACAGTCAGGGTCAGATGCCTAAATGCCTTCAGGTTCTTGGTTTCTGACACTTATAAAAACACTTTGTGCATGTTTGCTGTTGCTTCTGTGACTGTTCATTATCTACATGTTATTATATCCTAGTAGACTGTTAAATTTTACATGACTTAGTCGTTTTTTTCTAAAAGATTTATTTGTATGAAAGGCAGAGTAACAGAATCTTGAATCACATGGTTCATTCCCAAATTGTTACAATGTCCACGACGGGGCCCAGGCCAAAGTCAGGTCTCCTTGTGTCTGCAGTGGCCCATGCACTGGGGACATGCTCTGCTTCGTTCCCAGGTACATTAGCAGGGAATAGGAATGGAAGTAAAGCAGCTGGGATTTGAACTGGTGCCATATGGAATGCTGGTGTTGAGAAGGTGGCTTATCCAGCTGCACCGCAATGCTGACCTCGGATGACTTTCTGTATAATAATGGTTTCTCCCTTTAATGATCAAATAGCTCATTATTGAATCATTATTGATATAATGCTGCATATCTTAGGGTATTTTAAAGGCCTCATCATAATTTTTTTTTAACATTTTAGAATGAAGATTTATTAAATGAAATAAAACAACTTAAAGAAGAAATAAAGAAAAAAGATGAAAAAATCCAACTATTAGAACATCAGCTTGTAAGTATGAAATATGTAATATAAAAAACGAAGGCTTTTCAAACTGGAAAATACTGCTTTTTTTGTAAAACCCTGATCCAGAATTAAGCCTTGCTGTTGGGTTTCAGAGTTTCACTATTATATTATTTTTTGACTATATGCCCCTTCCAATAGAGGTGTGTAATTTAATCTTTATTCTAAAATATTGTCCATATGTTAATTCATTTTCAGTGGCCTTTGTTTTGGGGATTTAAGATAAACTGGTTTGCATTCACTTTTCTCATTGACTTTGCTTCATAGATAAGGAAACAAGGCCTGGCGAATTGGAACAGGACGTTGCCTTTGTGAGCAAAGCGAGACTAGGAGTTCAGGCTTGGGCACCTGGTGCCTCTGTCAAATGTGTCCCAGTGGATGACACTCAGTGATCCCTTAGAGTCATGTTTGAATATTTGCAGTTTTATAATTGTTATGATGTCAGGTAATAATCCCAGAAGAAACCAGTATGTGTTCTGTCTTGAATTTAATTATATGGTTTAGCTTGCAATAATATAAAAGGCTAGGCTAAAAAACAAAAAAAGGCAGAATTCAGCAAACTAGCTGTCCAGAAAATCTTTGTTAGAAGTCATTCTGGTAGAACCAAGCAATTCTGCAATATGAAAGGTTAATCTCAGGATATGAAATATATAACATACTCATCCCAGAGCTATGAGGTCACGTGGTCACAGTAGACAAATCAGCTAAAGATAGAAAAAAATCTATCAATCCAGTTGAAGAATATTTGAAATTGAGGTCCTACCAAACATAAAATTAACGAGCAAAAGGCTAATACCTCACATTTGTTTCTCAATCCTAAAGATAATCCTAGCATCTTATGATGGTCCAGCATGGTTGGATTCTGGACTTAGCTTTCTGTCAGATACACCATGGGAGGCAGCTGTGAACATGCTTAAATAATTTGGTTCATTGCCTGTAATGTGGAGACCTGTTTAGTGTTCTCCTCTCCCAGGTCTGGGCCAGTCCATCCCTAACCACTGCAAACATTTGGCGAGTGCTCCAGTGAGTGGAAACTTGCTCTATGTGTCCATTTGGCTATGTCTCTCTGTTGTTCAGAAAACAAAACCAAAATCAGTATAAGCTAAGCAGCAGGCCAGTTTTTAGGGAGAAGAAAAAAAGATGTGTATTGGACAATTAAATTAACTCAGTTTTCACACATGTATGCGCACGTAAATTATTACAGAATCCCAGAGGTTACTAAATTTGGTGCACTTCAGAAAAAGAATTATAATCCTTGTATTTCATTTCTAGACATTTATTTGTGTACAGATGTACTTTTTCAGCCTTTAATGTCTTATAAAATAGGCCATATTTTAACTGTCAAAAAATCACTTAATGATGCCTTCTGAATATGTGAATTTGAAATTGGAGAATAACTCAAAGCAAGGTAGTGAAGATTAAAATGAGTAAGTAGTATAAATGAAGTCATCTCTGGGGGACTGAGCAGGTTAAACTTCTGAGCAAAGAATTGGTGAAAACTTGCTGCTCATTATTTAATGCAAATTATGCATTAAATGTTATCATTTGAATGTGGGAATTTATATAACTTTAGGTTCTGAAATTGAAATAATTTTTACTTTGAGGAATTCGAGTTTCTATTTTTGAGAATATTTAGATTTAATGGAGAAAGCATAAGGAAGCAGGTAAGGAGGAATATCCTGAAGGAAGTTGGAAGTATTGAATGTTTTGCCTTCTACAAATGAACTCCAAATCATTCTTTTTTTTTTATTATGCTTAAATTATAGTGAAACTTATGACATGCTTTAAGATAATTACCAGTAGGTTGTTTGAAGAAACATAGAACAATGTAGCTCATTTAAGAATTGAAGGGAAATTGCGGCCTGTACCAAGCAAGCCTTGTGAAACCTCCTGGTAGTTCCCAATCTTGAATGTATAGGTAAAGCGCTGGTGCAGGTTCTCACTGTAAAGGTACAGGGCTGCGGAGTGTCCACTGCCTCTACAGACAGCAGTGATGGCCTGAAGCACATGTGTTAGGGAGTGTTAGAAGTTACTCGGGATGGTTACAATGGTGTAATGTTTAGCTCTGAGTAGAAAGTCACTTATTCAAATGAATAGAATTTTAAAAGATGTTTTTTGTGGTATCAAAACTGCAGTTGCCTTCCTATATAGAAGTCTTTTCCTTGCTCTCTAGACGAATTTCCATAAATGAAGGAAAGGCATGTGAAAAGCCATAAGCTAGGAGCCAGGTGGCTATTCTTGTCTGTAGTATTAATTTGCTGAATGACGTTGGCACATCCTATTACCACTTTACTGCTTTGTCCAGCATGCAAAAATTTTCTTGTCCATCCAGTTCTATCCTCTTGTGCTTTCTTGACATTTTAAAAGGTTTACTTTCAGGGCCCCTTGCAGTAACCTACTATCTAAAGTCCTCATCATGCAGGTGCCGGGATCCCATATGGGCGCTAGTTCTCATCCCGACAGCCCCGCTTCCCACCCAGCTCCCTGCTTGTGACCTGGGAAGGCAATCAAGGATGGCTCAGATCTTGGGTTCCTGAACCCTAATGGGTGACCCAGACCCAAAAGAGGCTCTGGGCATCTGGCTTCAGATTGACTCAGCACTGGCTGTTTTTGTTTCTTGGGAAGTGGACGAAAGATCTTCTCTGTCTCTTCTCCTCTCTGTATATCTTTCTTTCAATAAAAACAAACTTTAAAAGGAAAAAAAGGTATACTTTCAACCGTAGCCTGTGTCTGCGTGCAAACTTTCAGAAAGATGACAATATAAAACATTGTGTTCATATTTATGTAGTGCAGGCTGGTCTAAATTAGATGATAGTGCTCTGAGATGAAGGGTACAGGTTTGACTACTGAAATCTTTTTTTTTTTTAATAAAATTTATTTTGACATTCTTTACATAGTTAATTAGGGTAAGAAGGTTCAAGGGCTACAGGAAAGTGGATAATACTAGTATGTTTTCCATATTGTTACCTTCATGTTTAAAGGGGGGTATTAAGGGAGAAGGCCCACCCAATTTCCCACCCTCCCCAGGTCCCGGATGTAGGGCATGCTCTGAGGTTCTTGCTCAAGTGGTTTTGATATTGCCACAGTTATGAATTGCTGTTAATCTTGCCACTCCAAGCACTATGAGGTCTTTGAAAAATCCACTGATTGACATAGTCCATCATAGCTGAGATGGTTGGTTGACCTGTTCTGTCTTCTCTCTTTTCTTCGTTAGGGTTCTGAGTCCAGCATTTAGATTAGGAAGATCTCCAAAGAAACTTCTTGTATGTGCTAACAAGTACAGGGCCTGGCACCGTCCATTGCTCCAATCAGCTGGTGGTTGTAATTGCTGGGTTGGTTCTGTTTTCACTCCCGACTTCCACTGGAACCAATGGGTGTTGCAGTCCAGCCTGGTTCTGCCCAGCACATACTTGGCCCTCACATAAACCAGTGGGAGCTGCAGCCTAGTTGGAGCGACCCACAATAACCCCCACCAGGCCCACCCCCTACCCTGGTTTGCCAGTAAGCGTAGCAGTAATCCAGTCTGTCCCACACCCCATTCCACCCAAGCCGCTATCTTAGTTTTATGTCCTCCTGTGGAAGTGGTAACCCAAGAGGGATGAGCCCACTATTTCCCTCCCAGGTCTCTCCCACTCCCAGATTCCAGTTGATGCTGCATCTAAGCCCAAACAACCCTCGGCCACTTTAATTTTGTTTGCACCAGTAGGAATAATCCACCCGGCCCGGCTTTTCCCTGATCTAGTCCACATGAGGCGCACAGGTGTGATAGCTCTGCCTAGTCTGGTCTGTCCCCATCCCAGCCTATGCTCTCCTGCGGAAGTGGCTGTCCAGCAAAGGAACCCTCCCTCATTCCCCTGCCAGCTCTGTCCACTTCCTTTCTTGTTCTCAGGCTGGTTGGGCGCTGCGGTCCCCTCCGGTACAGGCAACCTCACCTCGGCATTCCATATTGTGCACTAGTCTTTGTTGTGACCGACCCTGGGTCGACCCACACTGGTGCCTGGATTTGCCAGTGGATGACGTAGACAGATTCAGCCTGGTCTTGCCCCCACGTCTGCCAATTGTATGCCAGTGGGTAGCTTTCCATGGCCTTTTCTGGGCTGTTACCTATCGTGTTTCTTGCGCTTACCTTCCGGGTCTGTATCCTGTCAGAGCAGTTGCCCAGGCTCCTCCATCAGAACCTCTGCCAATGCCAGGTTTCACGCTTACCAGTGAGTCCATGAGCCAATCCTACTCAGTCCACCTCCTGTCATAGCAGGAACTGTGGCTTTTCCTGACTGGCCTTCCACCCAATCTGGTTCTTGCTGTTGGATGTTCCAGCCCAGCCATGGTTTGTCCATACCCACGTATGGCTCAACATGGCTCAGTAGGGGTTTGAGACCTAGCCTAGTCCATCCCACATCTGCCCTGGTCCTCCAGGACACCAGGGGGTCGGGGTCCGGCCCGGTTCGGTGCATTCAATCCCAGTCCACACTTGTGCCAAGGGAGACTACAACTGTTTCCAGATCAGAACGCAGCCCCCCTTCCAGGCCACGCGCCTCTTGGTGGGAACCTCAGCCCAGCTAGGGTTGTTCCCTTTGCTCCCCAACCGGGTCTGTTGCAGGACAAGCCCCAAGCCATAGCTTCTGCATGGACTGGTATTTGGTGCTCAGCATTATTAGTGATTACAAGTTTTACAAAGGAAGAGTCACTGCCTGCTTCAGGTCCAAGAAGCACAATGGGTTCAACCTGGAGCTAATTAAGCAGTGACTCAAAGAACCAAATCCCCAGAGCTCCCTGGCTGGGCAGCCAGCAGGCGGAGCCTGGCACCAAATGGCACACTGGCAGCCCAGGGAACGGCTCACCATGTGCACATGGCGGCCGTCCGGGATCCAGGCATGAGATGCCCGTCCTGAGACCCACCTGACTACTGAAATCTGAACCCAAAAAAGTGCCAATTTATTTTCACCTCACAACAGGGTTTTAATAATTATTAGTAAATCTATATTTAATATTTAAAGTAATAATTTATATATATATAAATATATATATATATATATTTGGTCACTGAAACCAGAAAAATTTTGTGATATTACTAGTGTAGAATTTAAATTATGGATCCATAGAAAGTGGAACTTAGGTTTCACAGGCTTTGAAAATGCATGTTAGATCTTGTTTCAAATCTTGATTTTGAAATGTAATGACCCTATTCTCTTAGGGTTGCTGTATAATGTCTCCTGAAGCTTTTCTGTAAATGGAATAATAAAAATAATGATGAAAAAAAAATACTGATGATACATGGTTGTGGAAATTAATGAAACTTGTGTTTAATTTATAGGCCTAATAGATGACTCATGGATGTGGGATAAATAGTAACTCATATTTAATGATTTGCTTGAAATGATCCAGCATAAATCAATACATGCCTCAGGATGTTTTAAGTCCTTAACTATGTGACTTGAAGTCTAAGGACATTTGTAAACTCTAAGAAAAGATAGTGTATAGGTGCCATCCAGTTCTGTGCTTTCTTACTGGTGCTTGGTTAATAAATGGAGTTCTAGGTTGGCTCTTCTTGAATGCTTCTGGCTATCCTTTCCTTCATAGAGAGTGTGGTTTCATGGCTATCAGTCTCACAGAGCAATATTCAGAAGTGGGTGAAAAACCCGTTTTCGATGATCTTAAGTTCCATAGCTGATTTCTAAGAAATGCCGCAGCTGTTTCCTCATGCCTTATTACTTGTGCCTTCATCAGCACAGAATGGTGCAGACTAATGCAGCTCTGTCCCCTAGGACAGCGGGGAGGACACACACACTTCCCCAGAGATGAGCGTCTGAACCGAGTCTGTCAGCCATACAGAAAGCAGGTGGAGAGGGAGTGATCTGGCTGGCTGGTTTACATCTGCGGAAGTGTCACCAGAGACTAGGCTTTTCCAGTTACGGCAGACTTCAAATAGTGTTTTTCAAATGTTACTTTTCATGTGCTGGCAAAAGGAAATTTACCTGAAATAACCATAATTTGGATGCCATAAGTAACATACTTGCACTGTGATCAGTAATATTTCATTTTCTCCTCTTTACACACCTCCCTTGAATGTTCAAAGTTAAATCTATTAGAGTGAATTTCAAGAGACTCAGTTGACTTGCTTATGTAGTAATGTGATTTCGCTTAGGAATGCAGAATATGTAATACAGAGCTTTTTTGTTTTCAACTGGATTTTTATTTTTTGAAGGAAATTGGGATAATCTGAGTACAGTTAAAAAATTTTACGTTTGTAAATTTTTTCAGTTAGGAATTCCAACTTAATTTAATAATCAAGGGTTTCTTAGTTATTTTCTTCATGGAAGTATATTTACCTTCAGTGGGGCTGGTCAACAAATACTTTGATGGTGTGTCAGCTCTATACTGATCAGCTCCAATCTTTCATGTTTCATTCTGCTTTGGAATTTGGCGATGATTTGGAAGTACCAAAGTTTACACAGAAGGTACGCTGCGTTGTGTAACTGATTATACTTTAGAGGAATCGTGTGTAGAGAAGTCATTTGAGAACCGACATTGACGGTCGGTCTTGACAAAGGGCAGGGATTCTTCAAAATATTGCCATCCAGGAGCGTGAACACATCCTGTGAATAAACAGCGGGACTTGTGCATTGTGGCGCTCAGCAGCCAGGAGGCTCTCCCCGACACTCTAAAACCAGTGTTCAACGGTCACTCTGCAGCAGCATAACCATTAGGAAATGACGCCTGAGTTTCGCAGTTATATTCCTTCTATACTCCATACCTCTCTATATAGATATATGCATACCTAACACTGTATACTTTTATCATTAAATACACACTGATTGTATGTGACGTGCCTATGAAAAGTTTAAGAGATTGCCAAGGGCAATTTGAACTGTTTGAAAATTCTAGTCTAACTGGCCAACTTTTGAAACCCAATCCTTGAATAAGATGAGCGAATACTGACTAAAAAAAGTTTGCTATAAGTGTTTTTATTCTTCATAAAAATAGCTAGAATCATTTTGCAATGTGTAACTTTGTCCTTGGTTTTGTTTTTTCTCTATCCACTAGGAGAGCTCCTGGTTTTCTTATTTGTGTGTGTATGCAGAATGAAGGCAATGTAACAATTTGTGTTTTTGTTCAGGCAACTCGCTGTGAGTGCCAGCAGAAGTCTAAGGAGGAGAAATGCACATTTGCTGACAAATACACCCAAACTCCCTGGAGAAGAATCCCTGTGAGTAGCACCTGCTCTGCCCTCCTTTCCTGCCATTTGCTGTTGGATATTCTCTTCTGCTCCTCTTACTCCTAATCACTAATAATTTTGAATCTGCCATGGCTGCTAGTTTTATTCTTAGGGGAGGTGGGTTTGTTTTTATAGTCTTTTAGGTGTTAATGTGCTTTCTAAAGCTTTGCTTGTGTGTTCTCTGTAAGCGAATGTGTATCTAATAACTTGCGCTGTGCACACTGAAGCTCATTTTATTTGAATGTCTGCTCTCCTCTCATTGCATGTGTCTATGAGAATAGTATCTTCACATGGCATCAAAGAAACAGAAGGCCAACGTTCAGCAGTTGCACTTGAGCAATATACAGTATTTTGAAAATATATTATGTCAATAGAGTTGCTTTTCTGCAGAAGTTTTTGAAGTACATTTTAATGTATTCACTCAAGTTATTATTAAGGGTTTCAGGAAATATTGCATGGAAAGGTAGAGGGTGTAAAGCTTGTAGATAATGAAGAGCTAAGAAAGTAGGATCTAAAATGGGGAGAATAATCTTGTATTCCAGGCTTGTTTGGTGTTTTCAAGTAATGCTCTATCTCAAGACAAATTTAGGAATAACAAATGCCCTGGGAATCATTTAGTCTGAATTCAACTCAAGATGTGCTTGTGCGAAAGAATCAGCAACTGGTTGGTCAGCTCATTCTGTTGTACAATGTCAGGGACAGGTATTTCTTGGCAAGAGAATGCCTAACAAGCCAGCCTCTGTGCCTTGCTCCACAGTATATGTAGCACTACAGTCCTAGAAACACAAAGGACAGGGAACTATAATGAGCAGTGCAATCAGTAAACCGATTTATAATTTACAAGTTACCTTGTCACTTTTCATGTATTAAGTGCTTGCTTGTGTACTGTGTGTCAGGTGGGAATGTAAGGAATTTTTCAGCAGAAGTTTAGTGGTCCTGTCTCAGGCCAAATCATAGGCTCTTGAGGTAGAACAGGGTAGAGAACCATGCAGACAAATGGGAGTTCCACTTAGAAAGTTTTAAAAGAACTGGTAGTCATTCATGGACATGAAGCGCTGCAAGTGTGTGTCAGGTTCAAAGGATGGGGAAGTCTAGTTGAGGAGTCAGGAGCTCGGTGAGAAGGTGCAAGCAGAGTGTGAATCAGAGAAAGCAACGACACCAATGGGCGTGACGTACTATTTCTGTGATATCAAAGGAGGTGGCAGAGTATCTCTACGGAGGTGTTGGGAAATGAAAGATTGGGCTGCTGCCTCCAGACCAGGGCTGCATGGGTAACCTTGATTCCACCAAGGAACATCTGAATATGTATAACATCATTTGCAGGCCATACAGCATTGCCAGTTTAAAAATTAGACTGCCGTGGATTTGCTGAAATTTACATCCTGCCCACAGTTGCCTTGGCAGGGCTAGACCAAATGATTTCAATTTCCCCATATAACCCGCAGGCCAGACATTTCCACTTGTGCTGTTCTAGATGAAGATTTGGCCTTTCCTGGTGTCTGCGTTTTCCCTGTACACTGGTTTGCTCCTTTTGATCTGTCCTGAAGTGTCATGGGTGATTGCATGAGCTGTGAGATGTTCCGCTTCCACGCTCTGTGGAAGGCCTTGTGCCTTCCCTGCTTCCCTAACCTCGCTGTTCTGGACACTGCTTGGTAATGTGCCTCCCCACTGACGAAACACCTGGTGTAAGAGGAAAAGAATAAACCCAGTGCGCCTGGAATATGATGCTCAGTTTTACTGTGACTTGGGAGATCATTTCTTCAGCTTACCACCCATAAAAAATCAGACTGTCCATGATGTTTAATATTGTAGGAGCCACCTAGTAAATGGCTTTGAGACAATAAAATCCAGGGAGGTTAAACAGCAGGCAGTTTCTCTAATAAGGAGTTTAGCGCATATTTTAAGACTCGTGACAGCTGGTCTGAGGTTCTCTTCTGCTTAAGCCTGCTAAGAAGCCTGATAGCAAGGCAGGCTTGCAGATAGGAAGGGAGGAATATCCTTGTCAAACAGAGCAGGACAATTAAGAACAGGTTGGAACTTGAAATTAGGCAATAGTTGATACTTGATTATCGCTAATCAGATATGTATTTAGGGAGAGTGAAAGTTCATTTAAGATTTGTTTTAAGGTAAACATTTAAATATTCAGGAATTACTGGAAAATAGTTCTAATGAGTTGTATTTATTCAAACAAATAATATATTTAGTTACTTAATAGTTATGAAATGTTGAACTTATTCTCTACGTATTTTTCTGTTCTTTAGGCTCAGTGGAATTCATTTGAATCATGTCACTCTAGAAGTTAAAGTTTTTTTTTGCTATTAATGTAAACATTACTGCAATAGTGTTTTTTGTTAGAGCTGAAACTCTGCTTTTTAAAAATCCCTTTAATGATTAATTTATTTTGAAACTCGGAGTAACAAAGGCAGTAGGAGTGACACAAAGAGAGAAATCTTGCTTTGCTGATTCACTTCCCCAGATTACCAGACTTGCAACCTGAAGCCAGGCTGAAGACAGGAGCCAGTAGCTTCATTGGCTCTGTTACATAAGGCCCATATTATGTGGACCATCATTTGCTGCTTGCTCAGAGCATTAGCTGGGAGCTGGAGCAGAAGTGGAGCAGCCAGGAAAAATGGGCACCTGTCTGGGATGCTGACATAGCAAGTACTATGCCACAGTGCCAACCCTGAAACCCAGTATGGTTAAGAAATTTTCATTAGGGCTATAAAGGAATGCAGTGTACTTCCTTTTTTGGTGACACTCTGACTCTTAAGCAGTAATGTAGTGGTTAAAAACACGTTAAAGTAAAAATCCTCTTGTCTAGTACACGTGAAAGAAGTTTAACCTCGAACTAAGCCTGTATCTGAGTCTTTTTCTTCACTATTCCTTGTGGTATATTATAGCAAATTTTAAATGTCTTTCTTGATACTGCCTTAGTCACATAATTGTAGACTCTACCTTAGCGATTGATGATATCTATTGGAGCATTTCTTCTGAACTGTGCATGAAGATAGGGGCGGATGGTGGAAGAAAGGGTGTTCTTAGGAGGTTCAGAGAAATATTGAGAGAGAAATTAAGACTCCCCAGTCAGGGTTTGCCAGCAGAAGCAGAGTGGTTGGCTGCCAATAGGGATTGAACCATGTATTTAGCCCTTGGTAAATTTTCTTCATACATTTATTCCAGGGTATTTTGCTATCATTTAATGGGTAAGAAATAAAACCTTTGAGTGGAGAACCTGTGAGGCAGAGAGCCAGAAGGAAGTAAAAGTGACAAAATCAACAGCAGAAGTGGAAAAAGAAGGAAAAACTGAGGTGGTAAGGAGGAACAGAGAGAGAAAAAGGGCTCTATCAGGAAGGGAGGAGAGTGGCTTGATATTTAGAGAGTGGCCATGATAAGGACTTCATCCTCTGAGGTAGAAAAGCACACGCCCAGGTTTACCCTGTATGATAGAAATAGCAGTCCATTGTCATAACTGATAGAAACCTACATGGGTTCTTGCAAGAAGCTCATGGGAAATGTGTTATTAAAAATTCTGCTTGAGTCTCAGAATTTTTTGCAACAAAATATACTCATACGAAATTCTAATAGCATGTTTGAACAGGATCTAGTTTAAGTCATTAAGAAAGAGATGATAAAGCATCAGTTTGTAAAGAGCGTTTGTGAAAGCAGCCTGAACTCTGCTAAAAATCAAAGTACACATCAAATTTTTTGGCAAAGTCTGGGTAGAACAACATCGAAATCACTGATGGTTTATGATGGCTGCCCAGGGCACTGGAGATAGGGGCTGGTCTGCCCCGCCCCGACAGATTTCCTAGGCTCTAGCCTGGAACAGGAGGAGGGGCCACAGGAGCCAGTTATGTTAGCTACCTGGTGGGATTCCAGTTGACCAATGGCACACCTGAATGGACATTCCTTGCATAGTTGGGACACAGACATCCCCTTTGCCCTCCCATGTGTCTAGAGGGATATAAAACCCCTCAACACGTATTTCAGACGCCCTTTTCGCCTCCCTCTTCCTTCCCCTCTGTGCGAAGGGGGCCCAGGAGCGGATTTTCCAATAAAGCTTCCATCTCAACTCTGAACAACTTGCCGATATTATTCCACCAGTGGGTGGGCGGTCGGTGGCCATCATCTTAACAGTTTAGAGAAAGTTTGTAAGGCCAGTACCCAAAGAAATCAGCAGTGTAGAAGTTGGCACCTCATTTTAAGACATGAGGTGATGTTGAAGATGAAGCCTGCGGTGGTACACCATGCACGTCAGTTTGTGAAGAAAAGATACTCTTGTTCATGTCCTACTGAACGGAAGAAGACCAGTAAGAGTAGGAGAAGTAGCTAGCACACAGGCATCTCTGCTGGCTCAGTTTGCACAGATCTGAGTGAAAAAAGGAAGCGCAGCAGATGTTCTGTGCAGTGAATGCTGCATGTGTTGCTAGTGTCCAAAGCGGAGGTTACAGTGGACCAAGATGCTGAAGCACAACTTAGAGAAGCTTTCCCAGGAGAGGAAGCGTGGCTTTACCAGTGTGACCCTTAAGGCAAAGCGCAATCAGAACAGTGGGTACCAAGAAGTGGAAGGAGTCCAGTTCAAGCAGCAACGGACCTGTCCAAAGGGTTGGAGTAGTGGCTTTGTGGCATGCTTGAAGCTTTTTGCTTGTTGATTAGCTGGAGGGCTAAAGAACGCTAACAATTGCTTCCTTTTTTTCTTTTTTTAAACAGGCAGGGAGCTAGATGGGAAGGAGGGCCGCTGGGATTAGAACCAGTGCCCATATGGGATCCTGGTTTGTTCAAAGCTAGGGCTTTAGCTGCTAGGGTATTATGCCAGGCCCTCTCTCTCTCCCTTTTTAAGAAAAACAAGGCTATAGATGTTTTAGAAGACACATATTTTAAATGCCAAAAGTATTCACTGTTCTTTATTTGATAATTGTACCAGTTTCTTCCCCCCTAGAGGATGCTCATAGGGTTCCTTCAAAAACTATCATTCATATTTCTGATACTAC